TTGTTTATTGTTAATGAAATTTGTACACTTAATTGATTAAAATAATAACTTATTAAAATACTTGTATTTATTGCGCACTATTGGACAACTACCAAAGTTGCTATAGAATATCAGTACTGTATTGTTATAGAACTGTCCCACACTAAGTAGACATAATATCTATTAGTAATAGTGAGAGCTTATCTATAAGATAAAAGAAAACGCACTGTGTGATGATCCTGAAGTATATCAATTACAACGAGATCGAGTAACTGTAAAAATACTGTCATCAAATGTTGGTTGAACACCAATGTCACGATTATACCTACCAGGAGTCTGAGTATATCTATGTAGCCCCCACTCGATTTGGAAAGTCTGATAATCAATGTCTCATTTGGGTCATACATACATGTAAATAACATAGAGAGTCGAATGACCACCAAAAAAAAATGTGATATACATATATTTTTTTAACAATCTGTTTGTTATAATTGATCTGGACCAAGGAATTAAAGTCCACAAAGATAAGTATAAAAGTACTTTTGTTTATAATGCATTTTAAAAACACATTTTTGTCACTCTAAATAATAATATTAACAAAAATGCCTCATATTTCATTAGCAAAACGCTCCCGTATACATACTCTCCATGAAGAAGACTATTCGATTCGAGAAATTGCCAAGTCGAAACAGGTAACCATGTCCTCCATCCTGCGAATATACAAAAATAACTGGCCGCTTGAGAAGACTTCCTGAATATCGATATGAATCACTTTCAAATCGCATGAAATAGTATCAAAGTCGATTTCTGTAAACAGTTAGTCAATTCAATGCCAAAAAGAGTTAATGATGTAATACGAGCAAAGGATGGCGAGTATACAAAATTTTAATATGTATGAGAATTTTTAACAGCTGCAAATTTTCCTTAAGAAGAAACTTACCTTTATATATTATCTCCAAATTTGGTTATATTTGACGGATCACCAAAAAATAAGTTCCACTTGCTTCTGGTTACGGATAAGTTTTCAATGACGAGATATTCGAATCTCGCCATTTTTCTTCAGTGATCTGTTTTCTTTTGTGATCACAATGAAAAAAGTAATGTCTTTCTTTTTTATTAGGGGTTTTTTTCTAGATGTATCCTTTTACGTACTGAAATCAATGATTTGTATTTAATTTAACATAAATATCTTTAATAAAAAAGGGAGGAACATATCGATACAGTTTGTGATAAAATAAAATAAATATATAAATGCGATAAATTGTAAGACATAAACACAATACTTTTTTATTATAAAAAAATGCTATATCATTAAATCGTTGAAATACACTTAATAAATATGTTCACAAACTGCATATTTATAGACTTGACCGATAAAGTTATCAAACGTGCTAATAAATCATCTACATCTAAACCCTTACCTAATATTGAACTTTCGCTTAATTATAAATCTCCATTTAATGATAAATTTTTGTTTAATAATGAATCTTCATTTAATTATCAATCCTCAATTAATGACGAATCTTCTCCTAATTATGAACCCTTGCTATATTCACCTAATGATGAGCTCTCATCCAACGAATCCTCATTTAATGATGAACTCTTATTTGATAATGAGCTCTTGAAAAATAATGAATCAGAAGCAGATATGAACAATTATATAAAAATTTATACTCACCTTGAGCTAAACACGTACAAGGATAGGATTAAAAACATTCTTCCAAATATTTCTGGAGCCAATTATATTCGAAAAGATAACCGAGAGAATGCAGAATATGTGTTAAATGAAAGATACATCTGTCATTGTTCTAAAAATCTGAAATCAACAGCCAGCACAATGAAATGAGCTAATAGGCCTTTATCTAATCATAGCAAGTCTCGTTCTATTCAGAAACCATCAAAAAAATTAGGTTGCAAATCTTACCTACGAGTATTGAAATATCATAATGAGAAGGGAAATTCAGTTTGAGTCATTCACTATACATGTCATAATGGACATATCCCTGGTACTAATGAAGATTTACGTCACTTTTGTATTTCTCAACAAACAAAAAAATGGATCCATGCAAGGGTGAAAGATGGAATGCAGCCTTCCCAAATAGTATCGATGTTTCACTGATGCGTTAATCAATTTCATGAAAATAAAGATTCAGACTCCTTAACTTTGATACAGAGACGAGATATGTATCTTTCCTATATCGACATTTATAATATTGTTAATGATGAGATGAAAGGAGTGATTTTCTTAGGTAACAAGAAAGAAGAATATGGTGAGAATATATCTATCAAAGAATGGATCACTTTGTCAAAAGAAGATGGATCCTATACATGTAGTAACTTGATCTGGAGTTCATCTTTAGGCTTTATGTATGGGTTCCAAACCGAATTTCAAAAAAACATGTTAAAATTAAAAAGCGCAAAAACTGTTTGCATAGATGGCACACATGAAACAACATCACATAAAACATATCTCTTTACCTTACTTATACGAGATAATGAAGGTGGACAAGGTGTACCTATTACACATTTAATATCAAAAAAAAAAGCAGGAAATACATTAATTTTTTGGCTTGAAGCTATTAAAAACCAAAATCAAGAATGAAAACCACATATCTTTCTTACTGATTGCGATGATGCACAACAAAATGCAATTCGTACAGTATATCCTGGAGCTACGATTCTGTTATGTCAGTGGCATGTAAAGAATGCCTGGCAAAAAAATAAAGGAAAAATTAAAGCTGATGGTAATCATTTTGCGGCTCAAGAAAAGAATAAAAATAATAGCAATATTTTTAAATGATCAGGAAAGCAAGCGACTCAGAAGACGGCATTGGATGAACTTGGTATAATTATGAGGATTCGAGATACATCCCAGATACAAAGTAAATTTGATGAATATCTTACTTCATGGACAATCTTTGGTAAAAAAAACTGGGTAGAATATATAAAGAGAGAATATCGTAAAAACTGTGAAATGTGGATCGATACATATCGCCTATACGAACATCAAGAAATGAACACAACAAATTTTATTGAAGCTTGACATAAAAAATTAAAATATACTTACCTGGGAGCCAAATATAACCATTGAATAGACACTTTGATTTGGATCCTGCATGCTGCTATAATGGATGCGCAATTCGAATGCGAAGCAGTCCATTTGATGATTGGAAGAATGAAATCTAGACAAAAGG